CCATATACGGAGAGACTATTTTCGAGACTAGAACTTCAAGGCAACAACCTTACCTTTGTACCAAGGGTCACAGTTGCATAAGATGGAAACATTATTATGAATTTAAATTTTGCTAAAAGTTCATCAAACATATGATATGCCAAAGTAGTATCATGAACTTAAAAATCTCATCTTCGAGTGTCATTCCAATAAGCAAAGAAACAAATAAACATAAAAGTCCAATACTACAATGGACGTGAGCGGTCAATGACTTGGGAGCATAACCTATCTATTCCAATTATATGAAATATCCTTTTAACTCCTCAAAATCATTTCAAATCGAGTAATTCCGAAGACCTTTAAGGTGTGTGCTTAAGGAGTTCACCTAAAAATGAAACATTTGACTGTTCCATTAATGAGATCCACATTATATGGTATGGCCATCATTTCCTAACATTTCTACAACATTCCAATATATCTGATCCTCAAAAGGCTTATCAATAAAACAAACAGGAGCACTTAATTCATATGTTTGAGCTAGAACTAATAATTGTGTCCATTCATCTGCACACACCCATGCACCCGTCCATGCAAGCATGTAGGTATGCGTATGAGTGGGTGTGCGTGGGAAAACATGTTTGCCTGGTTGTGGATATAGTGCCTGGGTGTACACGTGCATGGGTGTGAGAGTGCATGGGTGTGCACATGTGCATGTGTGAATGTGTCTGCGTGCATGGGTGTGCACATGTGCATGTGTGCATGTGTCTGCGTGCATGTAAGCTTGTACGTGCATCTGTAAGAGATTTCCTGGTCTAATTTTACAAATTTGAAATTATAAATAGCATTCTAGTTTTATTGGACCCATACACTTTCCATTTCCCCTCCTTCCAACAGTATTGGATGAAAAATTATAAACTATTTACAATATGATCCTCTATTAAAACATCTGAAAATCCCATTTGATGTAAGTGTTTTAAATTTCACAAAGCAGTAGAAATATTGTTTCATCCTTGAATCTCCATCATCCCTGTTCGTAATTTTCTCATCCTATCTTTTATCTTTCTATACTAATGGGTGCTAAACTTCAAGACAAAAAACAGGATCACATATCTTCACTAATCTACATATCTTGTGAAAAAAAATATAAAGGAGGTGCAATACATATCGAAGATTCTCCTTTCTACGGTTAAGCTTACAATTTGCGAAAAAAGGCGGAAGGAATTTACAGTTGTAACTGTTTTTTTTTTCCTTACAAATGCATACTGCAAAAATATAACTCAGCAAAGAAACTGAAACATGCGAACCTTCGACTCCGAAATCGGGAAGAATGAGATGGCGACTGTATCTATAAATCATCTCAGGAGTCAACCCATTTCCAGTATCAGGTACAGCAATCTCGCCGTTGGAAGTAGAGCTGGAATCAGCCTTCTCATCGCTGAGCTTGGCCTCGAGAAGGCTTATACGCTTCTCGAGCTCCTCTTTCTCCGCCTTAAGCCTCTTGATCTCGTTGACAATTTCATTAGGGTTCCCATTATCCATTGCTGAAAGAAAAAAGAAAAAATATATTTATATATATAGATTACTCTCATGAGAAAATCATCGAACAGGTGATGGACTTGATAAAATAAGAGAAAATTAACTACCTTTTTCTTCGATTCAGCTGCTTATGTTTTTGGCGATGGTTCTCTTTTGAGAGAAGGGATTTGGTCCGCGTTGAAAGGAGAAGTGAAGAGGGGATGCGACGAGGCGCAGTTAGGGTTTAGGTAGATATCTCTCTTGGGTCGGAATCAATTTCCGAACCCGAATAAAAAAAGAGAAACTTACGCATCGTTCGGTACGCAGGATTGGCCTTGTTCGGTAAGCGGTAAACGGGATGGAGCCTGTTGAGGAGGCAAAAGAATGTAAGAATGGAATGGAATAGACTTGGAATGGAATGTGCATTCTTATTATCATGTTTGGACGCGTTTAGGGAATGAAATGGTAATGATAATCTTATTCTTATTCTCATGTTATACCCTTATAAAAACACATAATTTTAAAAATATAAAAATATTTTAAAAATAACTAAATAATTCTTTTTTTAAGAAAAATAAGTTTTATAGAAATGATATTTTTTTCTTATAGAAATACTTTTTTAGTTGATGGTTATATTTTGGTACACCTCCTCAGCAACAATTTTAGACTTTTGGCTTACTAATTAAAAAATAAATTTCATAGAAACTATTTTTTATTATAAATAATTATAATTCCATATTTCTAACTTCTAATGCTACATGTCTACTACGTGTACGAGCGGCTAATGCTACTAGCATCACTATGTACAAACGTATACAATAGACTGAATTTCATATGCAAGCTACATGATTTATGACTGAACTCCATGTGCATGCATGAAGAGAGATATCAGAAGAAAACACTAAATTTTGAAGGATTAGAAAAACATGTTAACTTTTAGTCTTTATATAAAATTTCTATGAAATTTCAAATGCACATTTAACTTTCAAACTATTGATTAGTAGTAGAAAACATGTTAACCTAGAAAGTTTGAAGGAATATAAAACATGTTAATCTCTAATCAAATTATAAAGTTCCAATCTCATCAATTAAGCACATTATTTCTTGTTGTGAGTGCTTTGAAAAAATTACTGAAAAGATTAGGCACATATGCTTCAATGGAACTTCAAATCATACATCCAAAGATCAAATATTTACTAACCTAATTGCTAATAGATTATGCAACCGAGTCGCCAAAAAATAAAAAATTGCTATAAAGATTATGTAAAGATTAGCCACACATACATATTTAAAAAATAATAATGGTTACCTAACCGAGTCGCATCGAGGTGAAGATGAGATTTTTTTTCTACTGCAGACGTGATGGAACTAGAGCAAAGTCAAACAAAGAATAGTATTTTAATATTTTACATCTATTTATATATTTGTACGAGCAGCTAATGATATTATTTCTATAGAAATAATTATATATATATATATATTCGTATCTTTTAAGGAGGGTATAATCAGAATTTATTTGTTTATTTTTATTCCCACTTAAGTGGGAATATCAATTCATTGTCAAATGATTAGGAATAACAATTCCCACATGAAGTGGGAATTCATAAGAAGTGGGAATAGCAATTCTGGCGTCTAAAAATATATCGTGTTTGGTACTGGTACGCATGAATAAATAGTTGAAATTGCATTCCATTCCCACTCATTCCCACGTACCAAACGAGGCGTTAGTAGTTCATGCTACACTAAATACTACAGTAAATCAACTCAGCTGCTTGAAGTTACTATTTATGCTACAGTATTACTATATCATAAATAGTAAAGCAAATCAAATGTATTAAAACCGGGATCTTTCTTTATGTATAGAGGAGTAGATATGATTTCTAAATCAAATGTATTAAAACTTGAATCCTTCTTTGAGTATAGAGGAGTAGATATGATTTCTAATTTTAAGCATACAATAATTACATTAAATATATTAAAACTTAGAGGGAGGCAAGTTCAAAATGTAGTACTAAAAAAAATAGGGGATCATGCTTTGCAAGAGGTGCACACTAGTGACTGAAACCTGAAAATGTTGATGATAGGATTCTAGTCAGGTCGAATTGAAGTTAGCCCAGCCCGGATACTGGGTCCTTTTTTCCCCACCTAAAGTCAAATCAGCTTGAATGTCTGCCAAGTATTTTTGAGAAGGCCTCCTAATCGTAGATGAGCTTTAATGATTAAACCAACCAAATTTCATCAGTTCTGTTCGGTTTTAGAATATTTATCGATCAGTTGGGGTTAGTCATCTAGAACTTAAAACTGGAACTGGGATAATTTGTGGGATAAATTTTTAAGGTGTTAGTCACATAGAACTAGGAAATGGGATATTTTTTATAGTGTTAGTCAAGTAGAACTTTTGTAGAACTAGAACTGTATTATTTTTTGATACGTTAGTCAAGTAGAATTCTACTAGAATTAGAATTGGGATAATTGGTCATAATTATCCCACAAATTATACTACCTATATATATAACCATAAGTTCTCCTCTCTCAAATTATCCCACACATTGGAACGAATACAATTGGGAAAAAAAAAGTGAAACGCCGCCTCCCTCCCTCTTGGTTAGTTTCTCCGCCTAGAAAATTTCTCTGCCATGAAGTCAATCATCCGTTCATTTTTCTGTCTTTACTTTGTTTTTGTGATGATTAGATCTTTTATTATTATCTTCAAGATGTATTATTTTATTGATAGCTTTTTGACGTTAAATTACTTTATTATTAGTTTTCTCTCCACAACAGTGGTTTAGGTTAAGAATATAGTGTTGGTGGGTTAGTGCTAAAGATATGCGGGCTATTTATGTTTTTTTTTTATAAGTTAGAAAGCAACTTTGCGATCACATTGATGATTAGATGTTGAATGGTTAATGGTGATATCTATTATTATTAAATCGGCTCAGTAAATTGATTGGGATATTTATAGTTCATCTGTCGATCATCTGTTTAGCGGCCATGGAAGATTCCTATATACATTTCATTTATTTGCTGATTCACGATTATAGAAGACAATAAATATTTTTTTTTATATATGTGCATATTTGTCATTGTCAAGCTAACAAATGAAATAGCTATATAAAAAAAGTGTAACTAGCAAGACCAGCAAAACCTCTCTACAGGTCTATAGCATTGCAGAAGATAAATGAGTGACTTTTTTTGGGGTGGGGGGTGGGGTGGAGGGGTGGGGGGATATACTTGGCAGAACTTCGTTCTTTGCATATTTCTCACGTAATTGGTTGACAAATGTATAGTATGGACGCCAGCCACTAGGGTCTTGATCTGTGTTCACATTATTATTATATATGTGCTTGTTCTTTTTATATCATATGCATTTATATTTTAATCCAATTCCATATTTGAGATTATGAAAAGTTATTTTTGAATTTGTTATAGGATGGACATAAGATCACAGAGTCAAAATCAAGAAGAAATGTTTCGAGGTCAAGAAAGTGAGGGACAGAAAAAAGCAAGGATGGATTATATGATATGGACTGAAGTAGAGGCTAATGAATTGCTTAGACTGTTAGTAGAGGAAGTTAAGAATGGAAATAAACAAGCAAATGGCAGTTTTAAAAAACATGTGATTATGAGGAATGTGATACCCCCTCTGGTTGAAAATTTTGGAAAAGATTTTAGATATAATCATGTAATGAACATGATAAAGCAATGGAAGAGAAAGATTACACCTGTTGAGATCCTGATGAAAAATAACTCTGGTTTTGGTTAGGACCCTAGCACACAGAAATTTACTTGTCCCGACGAAGTGTGGAATTGCATTTTAGAGGTTGGTTTATGTCATATTATTTCATATATATATATATATATATATATATATTCTTTGGATAATAATATTAATTGTAAATGATACCTTGTTGCAATGATCAAACCCTGATGGCTTAAATGAAGCACGCTTAGAGGAAGTGGTTGGGGAGGGCATACTTGGTGCTGATGCTGAGATGGAATCTCCGGATGGAGGAAATGCTACTGTAGATATGCAACATGCTACCACCGTTCCCACTGATAATGTGCCATTATATGGTTCTGGACCATCCACTCTGAATAATGGTAAACGAAGGCGTAGGTCAATTGGTACTGCAGGCACATCCTCTGCATCTTCCCAGTTATCGTTGCAAGAGGTAGGAGATGGAGTTGTTACTGTAGGTAAAGCTTTTCATGAGTTAGTTGATGAGTTGAGGAAGATAAGAAAAGGTCGGAATAAAGAATGGGTTGATGCTGTTATGTCTACTTCTGAATTGACTAAGCCACAAAAATAGAATATCCTTAGTGACAATATCTCACAGGACATGAAGGATGCCTTTATTGACATGGATGCAAAAGACCACTATGAGTTTCTACATTTTAGGTTGACTGGTGAGATAATGAATGATGGTAATGATGGGACTCAAGCCAATTCTGATCCAAATGGTGAATATTATGATTCTGATTTCTTTGAAGATGTTTAGAGGCAATAATTTATAAGTTTAGGATCTTTCTATGTTTTTTAAGATTTTTTATGATGTTAGGATTATGAGGAATTTTATATTGTCAAACTATTTTTCATTGAATAGGTGGAACTTGGGATAATGTCATGTTTTTTTTTTGAGATTTGGAAAGTATTTTTAGGATCAATCTTATTTCAATTTGTCAAAACTATTTATTTTTAGGATGTGCTATGCTTTTGTTTTTTTGTTTATATTATGTTCTTATGTTATTTGACTTGTCAGCTATCTTAGTTTGGTACATTTAATGGATAAAATTTCTATATGTATCATCCTAACAAATGATTTTTGTATGTTGTGTAGATGAGAGTAGTGCAATTTTATGTTTTATTCTATTTTTCAATAGTTTGGTGATTAACGATTAGCATACAGGTCAATATTTTTTAATTGATTGCTACTTTGTGATCGGTCTCATTGTGTGCTAATAATAGAGTGCTTTATTTATTTCCTATGCACATAAGTTTCAAGTAAAGTGATTATATTTCATTGGTTATATTATTTAATAGGATGGAGGAAGATCAAAATTTGCCCATTTTATATTTTCATCATGAAGACTTCGATGATAATCTTTTGATTCGCATAATCGAATTAGCTGCTGAGGCTGCAGATCTGATCACAAAGATATCAGGACTTCTATCACAGGAGTTCATAGCAAATACGCTTAATTTTCAAAGTCCTCGACATGATATTACAGATCTTGGTCTCACATACTTACAGTCCAAGATGGATAATCATCCACAAGATTTTCGTAGAATTTACCGCATGTACCCAGATTGCTTCATGAAGTTATGCAATATCTTGAGAGAGCGGGGCCATATACAAGACACATACCACATTAGTATTGAGGAGATGA